ACATACGTATATATTTATAAACATATTTACTTATAAAAAGATATATATTAATATATTTATTAGTACATTTATTTATAAATATGTTTATGTTGCATTTTTTGTAATTTTTTATAAAAAGACATGTATATATTAATATATATGATGAAAACAATTAAAAAATACTTATATTTTGTTTTTATTTATATAAATTGTTATGTTTTTTCTTTTAATAATTTAATTAAAATTTTTAGATTTTGAATCAGATCGGATTCGAATATTTGACATTCTTAATGGATTGGGATTCGAGTAAGCGTTTGTGAGATCTGATCGGATGAAATCTCAAATTTGTGTTTTTGGATCGGATTCAGATATACCCTGATCCAAATATGATTCAATCAGTTTGCATCCCTACATGGCACATCTAAGGCTCTAAGCATGCACCCGAAACATCTCTTATAGAATTTATATGGGCACCCCACAAAACATGCCCAAAACACATCCCGACCATGTATTAGGAACATCTTCCATGACAAGTGTGGGAAGTATTTTGGGTAAAAAACTTAAAAGATACCTTGGATTTCTAGAAATTGACTTAAACAAACCTTGAAATTTAAAATAGACATAAACATACTGTGACTCTTTTACCCTTCATTTTATTGCAAATTTTCAAAAACAACCAAAAAGAAGATACTTTTATTGACTGTTTATTATGTTAATGGGTGGACCTAAAAAGATTTTGCGGCTTCTCCTAATGGGTGCTCCAAAGGAGAAGTGGACCTCATAAGAAGGAATTGTCCTTAAGGTTGGGATTAAGGAACAAATGAAGCTTAATACTGAAAGACCCAGAATCAGTGATGTCTTGTCTTTGCATTCAAATGTGGATCTAAAGGATAGGACAAGTGGAGGAACATATTTTTCATGGCAAATGGATGGGGATCGAAGGAGGCGAAGGCTTGGTTAGCATTCAAAAGGAGCCAACAGATCCCAATCCCAAAACACGGTCATAACCCAATGGCACTCAATACAATGGTTCAAAAGGATGAAGAAATTGTTGATGTCAAGCCTCTTGCAATCTTTTGTGCTGACACATTGAAGATCGCAGGCCTGAAAAAAATACATCATAAATGTTGGGCAATCTTATATTAGAATACAACCAATTTGAAGGAGCCTATAGTTCTAACAAGACTTCTATTGATTTGTATATTGAAGACTAGTGCTGGGCACCGCCAAATTTCAAGTGGTTGTTGTTAAAGAAGTTGAAGTTTTTGATAGCAAGTGGGAAATTGATTAAGGTAAAGCTCAAGTAGTACAGGATCACACTGTGGTCATCATCTTTCCCAGAAAGTAAAAATCTCCGGAGTGCTAATATGGGAGAGAAGTAAAAGGGATTATTTTAGAGAGAAAAAGTTCCATCTATTAAAGGGATAGAAGGGTAAAATAGGATTTTAAATTTACAAATGATGTTAATTGGTTGAGGGTATGTTTAAGTTCATTTTAAACTTAAGGTATATTTAAGTCAAATTCTAAAAACTTAATGTTTATTTCTGTTTGATTCGCAGTTGAAATTGGAATCGGAATTGGAATCAGAATAGTCCATTCCCATAGTGTGTTTGGTTCAGACAGGAATGGGAATGAGAATTAGAATCAGCAGGAATAGGATTTAATTCCTAAGGGAGGGGCAGGGAATGGCCTTTCCCTCAAATGGGAGAATGCCATTCCAGCAAGGATTGGAATAGGATTTGAATTCCACCCCAACCAAACAGTTGAAATTGGAATAACCCATTCCAATTCTGATTCCAGACTCTTATTCCCGTAAACCAAATGGGGCTGTAGTCTTTTACCCAAAAATTTGCAATACACGTTGAGATCTACTTGTGCGGTGTCAATTTGAACTCTCTCTTATTCACACGCACCGTTGAGATGTTTTGTGGGATAAGGAGGAGCTACACAAGCCTAGGGGTAGCACAGCCTCAATGATCACACCAACAAATGAAATCTAAATGCCTAGGGAGAGAGGAGGGGCTTAGGATGAGAGTGAGTTTGCTTCGAGAGCTTTGTGCGCCATCCAATCAGTAGCCTGATTTGCTTCATGGAATGCATGAGAATACACTGCTCCATGGTCCAGCTTCTCCTCAAGCTTTTTGCAATCGTTAATGATGGTTTTAATTCTCCCTCGATGCAGATGTACTGATCTTTGAAGTTGAACGCCATGTTATGAGCTTTCCAAGCGGTCCATGCTTCAGCAAGATTGATGGTGGTATTTCCTATTGGATAGGCTTTTAAATCTAAGACATCCCCCGATGGTTGTGGGCAATGCAATTAATAGCACAATCACCCTCTTCACTTCGGGATGCATCAAAATTGATCTTAATCATGTCCGAGCTTGGCTTCTTCCAAAATATAGATTTTCATTTTTTATTATCATTGCGCCTTGTAAAATGAGGGCAAGAGTAGCCTAACTCTTATAGAAGGAGAGAGCTTGCTCAAGAATAGAAGAGGATCATTGCTTTTATCATTAAAGATTACATTATTTCTATTCTTCCACACAAACCACAAAATAATACCAATTATTTCTCTATCAAAGTAGATTGTTTGGCGCACTTTAGCCACCAACTCTTTATGGACTACTTTTCCAACAGATCTGCCAGACCCGGACCTACTGGCATTCAAATATACTTAGCTAGAGGACACTATTTGAAAATGTGATTAACAGTCTCGTCAACTCCATAGAAACTACAACTTTCCTTTACCGGAGTCCCTCCTTTTTTAAGGTCCTTTGAAGGCAGCCTATAATTCATAAGCAAATAAAGGAACGTTTTAAATTTGGGGGGAATATTCAATCCCCAAATTTTATTAAGGTAGTTACATGATTATACCTGTCCTCTGTCCATTAGCAAGTCTCTTTGTAAGAAGTTTTTAGATTTCACATCTGCGCCCTACAAGGGGGCCCCACAACTTCCCACGGTACATTTTGTTTAGACCTGTTCATGGGCCGGGTCGAGCCGGGCTTTCATTCTGCATTAACAGATTTTTCTAAGGCCTGAGCCCGAGCCCGGCCCTCATAAAAAGCCCAAAGTCTAGCTCATGCCGCTGCTATTGTTGAAGCGGCTGAATAGAGAGCGAGAGAGAAATTATAAAGAAAAATTAATATATATATATATATATTAAATTATTAATACATATTCTAATAAATATTATATATTTTATAAAATATATAATGCTAAGTCGGGCCGTGTTGGGCTTGTTATTTTGGGCCCGAGGTCAGGCCCATGGGCCTAATTACATGTCTAAGCCCGACCGGAGTGTGGGCCAGGCTGTCGGGCTACCCGACCCATGAACAGGTCTAGTCCCCGTCGTGTATTGGAAACATCTCCCAATGATAGTACTAGAACCGATGATATCATCATCGGGAGATGTTCCCAATACATGGTGGGAGATGTGCTGTGGGTAGACCTGTTCATGGGCCGGGCTCGGGCCTAGCTTTTGCCAAAATTTAAATAAACCCAGCCCAAAGCCCAAGCCTGACATAGTATAAAGTCAAGCTCGAAGCCCAGCCCGTGAACAGGTCTAGCCGTGGAATGTTGTGGGAAGCATATTTGAACTCCAATTTTTACAATAAAGTTTCTTTTGGGTTCAATCTCTACACTGAATTGTCTTTCTTTGGAGTCATTAAGGGATGAAAATACTCCTAATTTTACTCCAAACGAGGGGACTAAACTAAAGACCTGGGTTCTTTCCAAACACCCCTATCATGGTCAATGCAATCTCCTACTCTAAGCTCTTCATTAACTTAGCTATTGCCATCACTATTTCTTCTAGAGCTTAATCCCCAGCCCATCTATCCTTTCAAAAATTTATTGATTTTCCATTTCCCATCATCCTGGAGGATTCCCTACAGGCCCACAAAACTTTCTTTTCCTTAGTTTTCCAAAGGTCCCTTTACCTAGGTATTTGCTCTTAATAACTTTGACCCAAAAGTTGTTGGTATTTGTAATGATTTTTCATCCGAATTTAGCAAGATTTGCCTCATTAACCCATCTTAAGTTTTTAACACCAAAGCCATCCCAATTTTTGGCAAGCAAACATTATTCTAATTCATTAGGTGAATAGGTCGTCTATCATTTTTATTAGATCATAAGAAACTTCTTTGACATCTATTTATTTCATTAATATTCACTAAAGAGATCTTAAAAGATCTCATTACAAATTGGGGCATAAAACTTATGGTGGAGTTAAGCAAACTAATCCTCTCGGCTAGAGAGAAAGTGTGTGTTCCCCTTCCACCCTGCAAGTTTATTGTAAGATTCTGATTTTGATTTAATCTGGACAAGATTCTTTGAAATCTTCCAGGGATATTTTTTGAAAATCCGAGGGTAGATTTTTCAAAACATGGGCATTGCCCCCGGTGCGAAGAAAATTGGTTGAGAATGTCTTTTATTTGATAACAGGCTGGGATAGTGGTTTTTACAAAAATAATACAATCATCATCAAATTACAATATTGATATGCAAGGACCACCCCTCGAGGCTTTACACCCAATTTAGCTTTTGGGTTTGACTTCACATAACACAAATAAAACTTCTTGTTGGACTGCGCTTTGTGGCCGATGGGAATTCCTCCCCATGCCCTATCCATATGGGTAAGAGTTCAAATCTGCCCCCATAGAATGTATCCATAAACGTCTGCACATCTCAATCGTGTATTGAAAATATTTTGTAATGACAAATATAAAAAATGTTCTTAATGCACGCTGAGATGTGCATATAGAGCGTTATTGGGGCGCATTCAGTGGGGGCAGATGTGAAATCTGTTGGAAAGGTTTCATTATTTGGGAAAAAACAGGCTGTTTTGAAGTAATGCACGATACCTTAGTATTGATTGTGAAGTAAAAGAATAGTATTGCAATTAATATTATTTTAATTACAAATAATAAATATTAAATGGGGTAATATAGGAAGCTTCCTAAACATCAGAGTATTATCGCATCTGTTACTCGAGGAGCACTCCCCACATCTACCCACACATCATGGGCAGTAAGTAGATGTTCCCAATGCACGGCTGCAGTGTCGTGTCCGCAGGTGTGGGGACTGGAGATGTTCTCAATAATCAATGATCAGTACGATAGAGAGGTAAGCGTGTGGTTGAGTAGCGGGCACATGACATGGTACAGAGATTGTGTCGCAGGCTGCTTACAAGGTCAGCTTCAAAGTTCAAACCTTTTGAGTCTTTCGTCTCTGAAGTCTGAACTCACGAAAATGGTGATGCTTTGTTGACAATATACAAAAAGAAAAAGAAAAAGCAAAAGAAATGATAATTTAACATTTGCAGATGCTTCGATATTTCTCTCGAACTTTGGTTATCTTTTCCAAAACTAGATATCTCTGTGTTTCGGCAAATCAAAGCTTAAGCCTTCCAAGGAAAACCCCGTTTGGTTGTCTTTCATTCCGTTTCGGCGTTTCCAAAGGTATATTGCCTTATGTATCTTTTTATTATCGGTTCCTCTCATTTCATCTTTAAGCTAATGAAGCAACCCAGACGTGTGATTCTATTACATATTGACATGAATTATAATCAATTGCTTGTGCATGATTGAGGCAATTAGATGCTTAGGCATTGATTTTGCAGCCGAATGTTCCGGGTTCTATTGTAGGTTGTGATGCCAACTTCATTTGAAATAAGAGACAATCACCAAGCAAATAATTCAACTAAAAGTATCTTTCTTTCACCTAAATGCATTGTTTGATGAACTGATTAATTGAAAGGAGTTATCCTAGCTGGGAACTCAACTAATTTTATCCTTATTTTTTTAGCTTTGACTTGTTCATTAATTCTTCATTAACTCATTTCGAAAGGAAACATTCATGTTCAAAACATCCTTTTCTTTGTTGAAGCCATTTTCTTGGTTAATTCAGGGGTTGAGATTATAGCTGCAAGTTTTTCTAACATTAGATCCATGTCAATTTCAGCAAGTTCACAGTCGATCATGGAGAATGTGGTAACTGAACACAGAGAACAAGAGCTTCTACTACTTAGTGCATCCTATGATGATTTTGAAGGTGTCATTGTAAACATGAAAGACGCTATGGACCCTGCGGTTTTTGTTGCTTCTCTAAGAGCTTCAATATCCCACTGGAGGCAGCAGGTGGTTATTATGCATTAATGAGTCTCTTCCGTTTTAAATTGGTTTCTTCTTTCTTTTCAATGATTACATTCCTCTAATCAATACACAGGAATAGAAAATGTCTTTGTTTGGCTGTTATATGTTAATAAACTCTTGATAGGGTTACAGCTCCACATGGTTGGACCAGGTGTCATTGTTTGGCTGTTATATGTATAGCTAGGTAGTACTTGCTCATTATAAAATGTCTTTTCAAGTTAGCATGATAGTTATCCTTCCCTTGTGCAGTTATGCCTATTTTACCCTGATGTTCTTCATCCCTCACACAAATTATTGTTGTTTCCTGGGTCCGCAATCAATCATTGAGAGAAGTGTTTCCATCCTTGTTCTGTCTGGCCCAAAACAGGGAATTGAGGGGTATGGTGCCCTGTCATGAGACAATTTAAATGACTAGGAAACCCAAGACCTTACGAATATGTTACTTGTGCTACGGCAGACCCAGCTTGACTCATCCATACAAGACAGGATGAGATATTTAGATGGAATTGGAAGCCTTGGGTGAGTACACTGTCAAATCTTTCTTCAGGTTTGTGAACTTGTCCAACATTAGAGAAAGTTCCCTGGTCTTGAATTTGGAGACCTAAATGGCCATTGAAGGTGAAGTAGGCATTTAACAGAAGAGGCATAGTCATAAATAATCACTGTGTCTTTTGCCAATCGGAGAGAGAGAGATGATGTAGCTCATCTGCTAATCTGGTGCCCTCTCACTTATTGTGTATGGTGCAACTTTATACAGATTTCAGGGTGACGATGGTGCTCCCAAAAGGTCTGGACTCTGGATTCCCTGATAGCTGCTTGGTCTGCTAAGGTGTTCAGTAGAAGGGGCTCAAGACTATGGCTTTTAGTTCCTCGGGCCCTTTGCTGGGGTATCTGGTTATGGAGGAACAGAAGATTTTTTTCCCACATTGATTGAGCCAAGGTGTTAGATGAAAGGCATGAGCCAGTAGCAGATTACAAATCAGTGGGAAGAAATTCTTTTTGTTGATGATATAAATGGATGGCTAACAATAACTTTTTTTTTGGCAGCTATTACACTTTTTGATATTTCTTTCCTTTCTACAGTGTTTTTGTGTACAGAGGTTATGATGTATCTTTTTGTCATAGTTATTACAAATCATACTTTGTTTACCTTTCAAAAAAAGATTCCTGGGTTTTTAAGGGAAGCTCACTAAATGATCCAACTATAAAACCTGCTTTTTATGTATACATTGGGAATATTTTTTTTTTTGATAAATAACCACCTTTTATTAAACTTTCAAAATAGAAAGAAGTACAAGGGGGTGGGGGGGTGGGGGGAACTCTCTTAACCCTCCCCAAAGAAAACAATTCAATTACATAATGGCCCAAAATAGTTGTTCCCTTACCAGTTACCACCCCTTGTTTATTTAGCAAGGGTATCCGCAAAAGAATTAGCACACCTCTTTACCCATTGAAACTGAATCTCCACACCTTGTGCTAGCCGGTTGAACATTCTTTTTTCATTAGCAAACTTCCAAAGGCCTTTCTTTTCTTCTTGCAGCCATCCTATAACAAACTTTGAATCCCCTTCAATAGCGAGTTTGCTGCAGTTCAGTTCCCTTGCCTTCTTCATTCCTTCCATCACAACCAGAGTCTCAGCTCGTAGAGAATCACCCACACCAATAGGGCCAGAAAATAGAGCAAGGATTTTTCCATCTTCATCCCAATAGAAATCTGCTGAATTAAAAAATATAAAAGAAAAGAGTATTTTCTTGAAGAGAGAAGGAAGAGAGAAGAAGAAGAAGAAGAGAAGAAGAGAACTTGAGAAAGAAAGAGAGCAATAATCTGGCCGCCCCCTTCACTTAATATTTATATTAGAAATATAAAAGGAGTACAAAGACTATTATGCCCTTATAGGGCAGAAAAACATTAAAAGGCCTATAAAAGACTCAAACAAATAATAAAATTTGAACTCACATAACTGCTATGGTCCTCGCTTCCTATCTAACAATTAACATAAAACAACTATTCTTAAAACCACACAAAACTGACTAATCTTCAACACTCCCCCTCAAGTTGGGAGTAAATGTCACACATACCCAACTTGCGTAGATCATGTTTAAGCTTGTTCTTTGCAACCCCTTTAGTGGGGACATCAGCCAATTGTAACTCTGAAGAGACATAAGGCAAGCAAACTTCTCCAGTTGTTAAATCTTCTCTTATGAAGTGCCTATCAACTTCAATGTCTTTTGTCTTGTCATGCTGAATTGGATTGTGGGCAATATTGATTGCAGCTTGATTGTTGCAGTATAGCATCATAGGTTCCTCTGCTTTTACCCCAATCTTACTCAATAGGGATCTAACCCAAGGTAGTTCTGAGACACCATGAGCCATGGACTTATACTTAGCCTCTGCACTTGACCTAGCCACAATTGCTTGTTTTTTACTCTTCCATGAGATCAAGTTTCCACCTACAAAGGTACATATTCCTAATGTAGATCTCCTGTCATCTAAACAACCTGCCCAGTATGCACCTGTATAGGATTCCAGCTTCAAATTTTCATGATTTGAGAAAAGGATACCTCTGTCGGGGTGCTTCTTTAGATATGCAAGTATTCTCTCAATAGCTTTCTAGTGTTGAACCCGAGGTGCATGCATGTACTGACTCACAACACTGATGGCATAAGAAATATCTGGTCGTGTCATACACAAATACAATAGTCGGCCCACCATTCTTTGATATCTCCCCACATCTTTTACCAACTCACCATCCACAACATTGATTCTATGGTTTAGATCAATAGGAGTGTCGGCTGGTTTGGTTCCCAACTTCCTAGTCTCCCGCAGTAGGTCAAGTACATACTTCATTTGAGAAATGAAGATCCCATGCTTGGATCTTGCAACATCAATCCCTAGAAAGTATTTGAGCTCACCAAGATCTTTGATCTTAAATTCTTGCTGCAATAATTTTTTGAGAGCATCAATCTCCTTCAAGAGCATCTCTCTTTTTCACAAAGAGGGTGTGATCAGACTTGGTTTGTATGTACCCAAAATGGGTAAGTGCCCCTCTGAAACTGTCAAACCAAGACCTAGGTGATTGTTTCAGGCCATACAATGATTTTCTGAGTTTACACACCTTTCCTTTACCAACATTTTCATAAAAACCTACTGGAATGTCCATATGTACCTCCTCTTGCAAATCACCATTGAGGAATGCATTTTTAACATCAAGCTGAAAAAGGGGCCATGAATAGGTGGCTGCTAGAGACAAGAGGATACAGACTGAACTCATCTTAGCCACCGGAGCAAAGGTTTCCAGATAATCAATGCCATAGGTCTGAGTATACCCTTTTGCAACCAACCTTGCCTTGTACCTCTCTATCCTGCCATCGGCCATGTACTTCACAGTGAACACCCATCTACATTCGACTGTCTCCTTGTCTGGAGGAAGATCAACTATTTCCCAAGTTTGGTTTTTAACCAAGGCTTCCATCTCTTCTTGTATAGATGTTTTTCACTCAGGTTTGGAGAGAGCCTCAATAACATTCCTGGGTATAGACATAGAATCCAAGGAAGAAAGGAAAGCTCGGTAGGAGGGTGATAAGGCACTACAGGAGAGATGGCGTGAAATGCAATGGACTTTACACTTTCTCTTCCCTTTGTGAAGTGCAATGGGAAGATCATGGTCAGTGGGATTAGTTGCAAGAATAGTGTTAGGTACATGAACATTATCATTAGAAAAAATAATAGATCAGGCTCAAGGGGAATATTTGGAACTGTATTTGCTGAATCTGGAGCCTCGGAAGGACTGATGGAGAGTGGTGCGGGTTGAACATGTGTGGAGTCGACCATCGTCTAACGGCACTGATATTTTTGTGAGGCTGCTCATAGTGGCTCAAGTAATGAAATTGGTGGAGGTGCTGATGGTAAAACTGGGGGCCACAAAGGAAACAGGAAGAGGAACAGACTGTGAGTTCTCCTCCCCAAAACTCTCCCCCTGGGGAGAACCACTCGAGAAAAAGAAGGTAGACTCAAAAAAAGTAACATCCATAGTGACAAATCTGCTCCTCGACACAGGGTCATAACAACAATACCCCTTTTGGTTTTAAGCATACCCAAGGAAAACACACTTCTTAGCCTTAGGATCCAATTTCTTGTGATGGGGGCCAAGAATGTGAACAAAGGTAACACAACCAAAAACCCTCAGAGCTATGTGAAACATCTCCCCATCCGGAAAAAGAAGGTTGAATGGTACCTTAAACCCCAAAGTTCGTGAAGGAACAAAGTTAATCAAGTGTACAGCTGTAAGAACTGCATCTCCCCAGAAATGGATAGGAACTGAAGCACACACCATAAGACTTCTTGTCACCTCCACAATGTGTCTATTTTTTCTCTTTGTTACTCCATTCTATTGCGGTGTATATGCACAATTGCTCTGATGAATTATACCATGCTCCAAAAAATATGTGGTCAAATCCTTCTCAAAATACTCTCTAGCATTATTCGATCTGAAGGCCTTAGTTCTCGCTCCAAATTGTGTGAGAACCATCTGGTGGAACTGTCGTACCAAGTTAGGTACCTCATCACGGGATCTCATTAAATATGTCCGGGAAAACCGTGTACATCATCCATAAACAAGAGGAAATAATGGTACCACCCATGGAAGGAATATGATATGGTCCCCATACATCACTGTGAACAACATCAAAAGACAAAACACTTCTTTTATTACTTGGTTTAAAAGAATGTCTATAATGTTTTCCCAACTGACAACTTTCACACTCCAAGGTAGATAACTGGACAGACTCAAACAACTTTGAAAAAAGAAATTTTAAAGAACTAAAAGAAGGATGACGCAACCGATTATGCCAGAGCATAATCTGGATGACCCAACTGCATAATCTGACTCACTAACTCTGATCCACTACTACTGTTGCTGCTAACATGGTGGCTTTGATGTCTCGGAATCTCATCCAGAAGGTAGACTCCATTCACCTCACGACCACTCCCAATCATCTTCTTTGACTCCAGATCCTGCAAAACACAATTACCAGGAAGGAAGGTCACTGAACAATTCAAATTTTTGTCAAAGAACTAATAGAAAGTAGGTTGGTATGAAGTCTAGGAACATGTAAGACAGAAGATAAAGTAATGTCATTGGTCACTCTAACTGCCCCCTTCCTAGCAATGGGAATATGTGAACCATCTACAGTAGAGACTCTATCTCTACTAGAGCACAACTGATAAGAACTGAAAAGGGTAGGTACATTAGTCATGTGCTCAGATGCTCTTGAGTCTATAATCTAGGGAGGTCCCTTCTTACTTGAAGTGGATGCAAAATTTGTAGTTGCATATGAACTACCTGTATGAGCAAAAGAGGTGGTGTAGTTGGCTCCTGCACTTTGTTGTCCATCTGAAAGGCTAGAACTAGTTGTTTCTTTCTTATTCATAAGCTGTCCAAACCTCTCCAATTCTGTTTTAATTGTTGCTACTACAATGGATTCCCAATCAGTTTGGGAAAGAGGGGCCGAAGAGTTTCCTGTAGTGGCCACATTTGCATTTCCCTTCTTGTTCTTGATCCGAGCAGGCATAAGATGTGGATGAAGCTTCCAATAAGTGTCTCTAGTATGCTTAGCCTTCTTACAATAATCACACACCAAGTCCTTCTTATCCTCCCTCCTAGTCTCACTGCTCCCCCTGTCTCCATTTGGCTTAGGTTTGGTTGTACTAACCATAGCCGACTGGTCAATCTTAGGCTGTCTCAGCATGACATTCCTCCTGGTCTCCTCTCTAGAAACAAAGGCATAGGCTTAAGAGAGTGTCACACTCTCCCTAGAAAGGATATGCTGCCTAGCAATGTCGAATACAGGGTTTAGTCTTGCCAAGAATTCAAAAACCCTATTTTTCTCTACTAGTTTTTGATAGGTTGCTGCGTCATTTACACTTTCCCACACCACAGTTTCTAAGTGATCTATCTCCTGCCAAAGGGTTTTCAGCATGGAGAAATACATGGCAAGGGATTTATCTCCTTGTTTTATACTAATCACCTAATTCCTTAACTGATAGGCTTTGGCTACATTCTGCTTCTGAGAATAGGTTTCAGTCACTCCATCCCAAATCTCCTTTACAGTATTAGCCCAAATAAAATTTTTGCCAATGTGAGGTAACATAGAATTACATAGCCAGGACATCACCATGTAATTCTCTTGTACCCATCGAGAAGAATCTATATCAGGTTTCTTCTCCTCCCCAGTGATGTACCCTAATTTTCCGTGGGCACCAATGGTAATCTTGGCTGATTGTGCCCATTTTAAGTAGTTTGTACCATCAAGTTTTACTGTAGTAATGATTCCAGACCCAAAAATATCACTACTACCTCCAATGCCCAGTCCCATGGTATCGGTGGATTTCAGCTCGGCACTCCAACTCTCCATCTTACTTCAAACAATTCAATAGTAGGAAAGAAATAGGTTGAGAGCCTCCAAGAACAATTCAAACTCACACACACTGGAACAAACCCTCCTGGAAGAAGAAAACCCTATCCGGAGAGAAATCTCTCTCCTCCCAGTGTCTCCCAACAAAGAGAAGAGTGAATCGGCCACTCCAGGAGGCCTAGAAAACTCTAGAAACCTAACCGCCCTTGCAGAAAAACAAAAGAAATCCAATGATATCTGAGTGCTCAAGATCAGATAAAAAACTAACAATCCAGATTTTCTAGGACTGTTCCCCGTACTCTAGTTCTTCCTGATTTTGATGCCAAAACGAAGATCACCTTACTGATGACTTGATCCCACCAAAAAATCTAAGAACTGGGCAATCTATAGTAAATTGATCAGCCCTTTATTACTTCATACAGTTGGCTGATCTAGGGCTGCATGAGAAAGCTCCAAGAACCCTAGTCAAAGCTCTGATACCAAGTAGAAATCTGCTGAATTAAAAAAATATAAAAGAAAAGAGTATTTTCTTGAAGAGAGAAGGAAGAGAGAAGAAGAAGAAGAGAAGAAGAAGAGAAGAAGAGAACTTGAGAAAGAAAGAGAGCAATAATCTGGCCGCCCCCTTCACTTAATATTTATATTAGAAATATAAAAGAGTACAAAGACTACTATGCCCTTATAGGGTGGCAAAACATTAAAAGGCCTATAAAAGACTCAAACAAATAATAAAATTTGAAATCACATAACTGCTGTGGTCCCCACTTCCAATCTAATAATTAACATAAAACAACTACTCTTAAAACCACACAAAACTACTCTTCAACTATCCCTAAAGGTTCCTCCAGTTCTAGAAGGCCCCAAATTACCTTCACTACTCCCATCAAAATTCAGCTTAGTATAACTAGAGGCTGAAGGAGACCAAATGGGGCTTATCTTGGTTTTAGTAGGTGCTGAGTTGGCCACTTCCTTTCAATTTCTTCTTATCATATATGTGGAGATATTGTCAAACATATCTATAGATTTCATCCAATGCATCACTCTAATAGTAATTGTTTCAATAATGACCTCCTTATTCCTCTCCTTTTCATTAATGATCCTTGAGTTTCTTTCCTCCCACATTGTCCAACATATGGCAGATCTAACACATCTCTAGAGAAGTCTACCCATAGTTTTCAAGGCGCCAAGGTGAGGCTAGGTGAGAGGGGGGCGCCTTGTCGCCTAGGCGCCCGCCTAGGCGATGGATTTTTTTAAGTGAAAAATACATATCCTAGGTAGTTCCCTAGGTTCCATAATCATCTTTCCTTAATAAATATCCAAAATTTTCATAAGAAAATTATAAACTTCATGTTTATGCCTAGAAAACCAACATCTTTATGAGAAGAAAAATAAAGAAAAGAAAATTCAATAAATATGGGGACTGAACCCCTATTTTTGTTTTAGGAAAAGAAGAAAAGAAAAGGTGGAAGAAGATGTGGAGGAAGAAATGTGTTGGTTAGACAAAACTTTAAGTTTTTCACTTATTGGTTCAAATTCTGAAGTCTTTGAGGGTTCAATACCGAAGTTAGCAATGTTTGTGTTGATTAAACCCTAACAAATAAGAAAATAATAAAAAGAAATTAGTTTATAAACACAAAAATGAATATTTTTGTTTAATAATGTCTATTTTATAATTATAATCTCAAAAAAGTAACAATATAAAAGTATTTTATAAGACAGTATACAAAACTGCTAGGTGACTGGGCGAGGCGAGCCTCCAAGGGCGCCTTGTCGCCTAGGTGTCGCCTTGTCACCTAGGCGTCGCCTTGACAACTATGAGTCTACCCCTCTTCTTTGGCCACCTGAAAAAGGAAGAGGTGAACAAGCTTTGTACATCTGGTGGGGGTGTCCATCTGCAGCCAAATAAAGAGGAAAACCATTCCCAAATATATGAAACAAGTGAGCAAGATATTAGTAAGTGATAGCAACTCTCACCATTTGCCTTACAAAGGCTGCACCAATTAGGGGATAGTCACCAATTAGGTCTTTTTCTCTGGAGCAAGTCACAAGTGTTACATCTTCCTAGAAAGGCTTCCCAACAAAAAGCATCAATCCTTGGGGGAATCGGTTTGCTCCAAACTTCCGGAACTGGAAAGTCTTTGCTGGAGCTATCTGAGGGTTGTGTTGAGGCCTTAAAAAAGGAGGCACAAGATTGTGAATAAAGTCTATGCTGGAGCTATCTGAGGATTGTGAATAATATTTGTTTTTCATCAAAATTTCCTGTTTCCCAAATCCACATTCAATCCCCTTCCTAAGTCCCATCCAACAACTTCCCAACTCTCTCTCCCCTTTCTTTTCCCCCAATGTATATTCATTGTGAAAATTGTATTTGTGTATGTTTATGTCTATGCACATGCATATGTATTGTGTGTCTAATAGCAGATTTGGTAGTATTTGTGTATGTGTATGTCTATGCACGTGCATATGTATTGTGTGCCCTGGTTTTTTATAAAGACCTTTTCTTGCACTTCTCCTTATTTGTACTTCTATCGTAGAATTCTCACCTTACTGATTAAAAGAAGAAACAACCTGTTGTATCCCCATCAAACAAATAGAGAATCTTTTCCACTTAAAGATGACTTTATGGTTTTTGTTTTAATAACTTAGTATTCATTGTTTTGGATACATTTTTGCAGGGAAAGAATGGTGTTTGGATTAAGTTACCTATTGAACTAGCCAATCTTGTTGAAGTTGTTGTGAAGGTAATTAATAATTTAATGTTCTTGCTGTATCATCTTTATTGTCTATTGAGAAGCTAACTTTTAACATCAACAAATCTTCTGTCTCCTATAAATCTTATGAAGCATTTGGTAATTGTCTCTATTGGTCTTTTTTGTACATGTTTTGCCTCATTTTTCCTTCCATCTGACATATTGATATGCAGGAAGGGTTTTGGTACCACCATGCTGAGCCAAAATACATAATGCTTGTTTATTGGATCCCTGAAACTGCCAATTCTCTCCCTGTGAATGCTACACACCGAGTGGGTATTGGTGCTTTTGTGATGAATGATAAAAAAGAGGTATTCTATCTCTTATGCCTTTTGTTATTTGTTGCGATGATTCTGGTTAAATGAACAAAAAGTAAGAGGAAATTCAAGTCAGTAAATGATGTCCTTCCTGCTTTTCTCTTTGAGATTGTCAAACTCAAATGGGTTTGGCATGTAAAGACTTGTTTGGTCATATGATCTTAACACTCTCATTTGTTGTATCGTTTTGATGGTGAAATAGATATGAACTGTCCAAATAGATGTCTTTAGACTTGGACTGGAAAATATCATTGATGGGTCTCATTTGATAATGGGTCTCTACCTGCATTTGCATGTAGCATATTTGCATGATCCACAATTTCCTTGAAACATAAAAAATTTCCCAGTGTCCTAGGCATGAAACCAAAACCTCCAAAAATCCAACAATTCCAAACATCTCTCAATATCACCTAGGGAGGAATTGGTCTTGCCAAACTAATTTTATAGGAAACACTACCAGAGTGCCAGGAAGTATATAAGGTTTTAAAGAAGGAAAAACAAGAAAAAAAAGTTGGGTCAGTTGAAGTTTCTATAATATGGTCTAGAGGCATCAAGAAAGATACCATCCAAGGAGTGCACAAGGTCCATGAAGAGGTGGAGAGAGGAGGGACCAGGGGAGCCTTGGTCCCCTTGAAGTTCCCCACTTATATTATTAAGATAATAGACTAATAGTCTTAATGGTTGGCCGTGCATCCAAAGTACAGTTTGGCGATTGTAGCAAATTACAACTGCTCTAATAGTCTATAGTTGCCTCCCTTCCTTAAAAAAGAAAAGAAAAGAAAAAGAAGCCCTCGCTTCGCTCCTCGGTCCATGAGAAATTAAGTTTCATGCTCCCTTAATACTTTCCTCAATTCCAAGTCCCAGGTTAACTTAGAAGGAGAAAAATAAGCACATTGAGACACATTTTTGTTCTTATTGATGGTAAGAAAACAAAGGCTAGAGTATCTATCTTTGAATGGTTCAGCTCTCCACTAAAGGCCCTCTCAAAGTCTTTTTTTTTTTTGGTGTGTGTGTGTCTAAAACATCATATTTTATGTGTCAAAGGAAGGTCACTGAAATACTTGATATTTCTTTTCAACTTACAAGGAGAAGAAAAAGAAGACCTAGTGGCTAAGAAAACATTTCACCCATCTCCTAGACATAAGTACTTTTTTGTTTTATATTTTGATTAGAAACAGTAACTTTCATTTAATGATCAAGAATAAGTACAGAAAAAACACCCCATTTTTTAGGTACTTTTGATGCTATAGTTTGTTTGAATCCCATAGGAAATGCCAAAGTCACTTCCCTAATAAGGAGCAATTACTAAGAGCTAATCTCCCCAAGCCCAATTCCCCATGATTCATCATTTTACAAATAGTATTCTAATTGATCAAATGTAATTTATTAGTGTCTCCAAATTCCTATAGAAAGTTTCTTATGAATCTCTTCAGTCATTTTTGCAACTTGATCTAGGAAATTAAAGACCAAAAGGAAGTAGATGGATGGTTGGCAAAGGTAGGCTTGATCAGAGTGATCTTACCCTCTAAAGAGGTGCAGTTATTTTCCCATATTGTAAATTTCTTGGAGAAACTTTCAATTGTAGGGCTCCAAAAATTAATAGATCTTGGATCATTGCCTAGGAATAGACATAAATAACTTAAAAGGGCACTCTAACATTTTTTTGATCAGCAAAGAAATTCATTTATTAAATTAAACATTTGAAAATAAGTAATAGGTATATGGATCCCATAAACACTAGGTTACAACAATGCCCAAAATAATAATGGTCTATCAGCTCCCTGCTTGGCTAACAGATCCACCAACCCATTTGCTTCCCTTTTAACCCATCTAAAAGTAGAGTTATATTTCTTTGCAAGTTGATCAATCTGTCTGAAAATGAATCTGAGTTTCCAGAGTGCTGACTCAATTTTCTTTGCCCATGTTACGACCAGAAGGGAGTCTCCTTCAATTTCCATTTCTCTTGCCCCTAGTTGTTCAGAAAACTTCAGTCCTTGCAATAGTGCTTTTGATTCAGCCTGAATTGAGTCACCAAAATCGATTGGTCCTGAAAACAAGGCCATTACTACTCCTTGATGGTTTCAAAAAACTCCCCCTATTCCTACTCTTCCTGGATTGCCAAACAAACAACCATCAAAGTTTAGTTTTAGTTTATTTAAACCTGGTGGTTTCCACTCCATTCTTATATTTTCTCTATGTGGTTCTGAGAATGCCACTTCTCTCCAATTTCTTAAGAAGTGATCAGTAGGAATATTCTTGAAAGTTCCAAGGTTTTAACCCTATATACTGATATGATTTTAATGGCTTCAATCACCTCCCCTAAGGATTTACTTTTCTCATTGAAGATTTCTTTCTTCCCAAATAGACCAAACCAAGGCTGCACGTACTACCTTTCACATACATCTTCCCCTTTTCTTCTATTGCCTTAGGAATTTTGGGTTGAAAAGGCTTACTACGTCTTGTGGGGGAACCCATCTGCAATCAAAGAGAGAATAGAAATAGTCCCAAATACAAGAAACAAACGAGCAGGAGAAAAGTAAGAGAGAAAGGGCTTCACCACAGGCCTTGCAAAGAACACACACATGAGGAGAAAGGCAAGTATTTGTCCTTCTTCTCTATAGCACATCATAGATGTTTACCTTCCCTAGGAACATTTCCCAGCAAAGAGCTTGTACTTCAGGAGGAATTGGTTTGCACCATATTTCTCTCACAGGAAAATTTACCCCCACAAAGTTCGATTGGGCAAGCATGTTAGAGAAAGATGCATAGGAAAACAAGCCATCAGAAGTTGGATGCCAAATTCTATTATCAAGGCCATTTTGATCTAGGCAAACCATTTCCAATTTTGACAAAAGGACAAGGAGAGAATCACATTCATTGTTTCTTAATCCCCTTTTGAACCCTTAGTCCCAATTGATTCTAGTTTCTAAGGGTACAACAACCCTAGCTATAGTTTCATCCTTTAGGTTTGATAGAGAGTAAAGGATAGGGAATTGCAAGCAAAGTGGTTGGTCCCCCAAGCCAAAGGTCTTCCCAAAATAAAATCTTATTCCCACACTCAACATCAAGACGGATGAAATTAGTAAATAAAGGCAAGATTTCAGAGATTGCTTTCCAGGGGGAATTTGGTGCTGCATTAGCCTGCTACTATTGCATCCTAGCCATTATCTGTTGCACCGTGAATGCTTTCAATGACCTTGTGCCACAACCTATCTTTCTCACGGGGAAACCTCCACAACTATTTTCCTAGTAAGCAGTATTTATCTTCACTAATTTCCCAACCCCTAACCCGCCTTGCTCCTTGGGTCTACAAACTTATTCCCATTTTAGTAAATGGTCTTTTTTTCCTCTCCTGGCTTCCATAAGAAATCCCTCATTATCTTCTCTAGCAACCTTGCTAATTTTTCTGGGATTCTAAAGGTGGATAGGAAGTAAGTGGGCAAGTTTTCCAAGGTGGACTTAATCAATGTAATCCTTCCTCCCACTGAGATGTAGTTTCTCTTCCACATGGATAACTTTTTAGTGAATCTCTCTACAACAGGTTTCCAAAAACCTTCATGTTTTGCATTACCACCCAAAGGTAAATCGAGGTACTCTAGTGGCCAACTTTTTACCTTACAACCTAGTATTTGTGCCATTGATTGGATTTCATCCTCTTCCATATTAACTCTTGCCACACAACTCTTTCCCCAGTTTACCTTTAACTTTGAGATCCTTTAAAACTCTTCCACTAAAGCTTGCAAATTCCTCAAGCTGAAATCACCAACATCTTCACAAAAATGATAATATCATCCACAAATTGCAAGTAAGTTACTACCACCTAGATCTCCCAACCCTCCAACCTCTGATAAGACCTTCTTGATCAGCCTTGATGATTTGCCTACTTAGAACCTCAACCACAATTATAAACAAGAAGGGAGAGAGAGGATCTTGTTGCCTTATTCCTCTTTTTGTTGGGAAGAAATCCTTAGCCACTTCATTGATTAGTATTGAGAAATGTGCTGAACTGAGGCCCCGTTCGGCGCATCTTTTTGTGCGGCCTTTCGGCTGCTTACAAGCCGGGAAGACCGAAAATTGGTCTATTCCCGTTTGGCACGCAGAAGATCTCGCTGCCAAAAGATGGGGCGCCGAAAAGACGCGGGAAGCCCATTTTGGGCTGATTTCGGGAAGCTCCAAGTGATGCTTCCCGCGTCTTCCGCATTTTAATCTTGTGTGGAAAGACCCGAAACAATGCACGGAAAGATGCGCGTCTGCCAAACGGTCTTCGGGCTGCCCAGATCTTATGTCAAAAGCTCAATGCGTTAGACTGTCAGAGCTACGAGAAGATCTTCTTAAAAAGACTTGCCAAATGGGCCCTAATACAACCTTTGATCTACTTCTCCATCTTTCTCTTAGACCAATTTTCTCCCACAAACATAAGAGAATGGACCAATCCATGATATCATTGGCTTTCTTTAAGTCCAGTTTACAGATTATGCCTTTCCCTCCTTGTTTCATCTTTGTTGCTGCACACTCATTTGCAACTAGGGTTTGGTCCACTATTTGTCTCCCTGCAACAAAGGCCCCTTGGTTTTGGGAAACTACCAAGGGAAAAATAGTATTTGGCTTTCCTACCAGGATTTTTGCAATGATTTTATGAAGGCTACCAACAAGACTTATAGGTCAGTAATCCTTTGAGGTTCTAGCATCTTTCTTTTTGGGTATTAGGGCTAGTAAGGTTGCATTTTCTCTCGTTGAAGTTTTCCCTTTTTGATGAAAGCCAACAAATACAGCCATTAAGTCATCCTTTATGATTTCCTAACAATTCTGATAGAAAGCCACTGAGAATCCATCAGTCTCGGGGCTTTTGACCTTGTAATATTGAAAACTGCTTCATGGACCTCATCGTCACTGAAGGCTCTTTACAAGAAGGCAGCTTTATGAACCAACACCTTATCCCAATTTAAGTCCCACAAATTCACAATTCTTTCTTCTAAGGAGGCAAAGATTGATTT